TGGATAAAAGAATTATATATATATAATCCTCGTATATACAAAAGAAATTAAGAAAGTAATACATTTCTTCTTCATTTTTTTCTCCTTGTCATTTTAGTTTTAATTCTAATATGAGATCAGAATAGGTCGATTAGGGCCATAACTCTCTTTTAGGTCCCCTCTTCTTCATCCTTGGGTAATGATTTCTCCCTGTGGTGTGTGTGAAGCTATGCCATGGCAAACCCTATGGCCTTGTGCATTGGGGTTTAGTCACATTGGATAATAAAAAATGAAACATATGCGTTTTAATACGATAATAGCAATTTCTAAAACAGTTTTTTTATAAATGTTTAAAGCCGGACAATCTATATTTGGATCCTTATTTTTAATCATCCATTTTCTAATGATAGGATACTATATTTTATGTCCTTTAATAATAAGATTCACCAAGAATTATCTCCGTAAAATTTATGAGAAATAACAAAAAATTGTACTGCCAACAATTCCACTCACTCTCCTTGACCTTTGCATTCTAATGGTTAAGAGTTAAAGAGATTGACTACTTATATTAGATATTTTAAATTTAAAACTTAAAAATAGATAGAAATTAGAAATGTTTTTAAGAAAAAAATAATTATTTTTTATTATATAATAATATAAAAAATATAATAATAATAAAGCATTCCTCACCCTTAAAATTGGAATGCTATAAATTGATAATTTCTTTTTTTTTTTTAATTTATGATTAGAGTATTTTCACATTAACTTTTGCACATTTTGAGACTAATTTTTTTTGAGTAATTTTAAATATTCACCCCTACATCAATTTGATACATTAAAAAAAATTAATTTCTTTAAATGTCAGCTCCAAGACTTAAATCCTAAATTTACTTACAAGACAATTCTTCTTTTCTAGTAAAAAACCTAATTAACCTTTAGGTTTAAAATTGGTAATTTCTAGTTTATAGGCTGAGTGATATTTATATTTCTCTTTTCTTTGGTGTATGCGTGCGGGAGTCGATAGCATTTAGTACATAAACAAGTCAACTCTCATCCCCAGCATTACTGAATTCAAATGCAACCTCAACTCCCATCAATGGAAATACAATCATTCTCCATTCACTGCATGTTGCAAAAGCAATAAAGCTTCTTTATTGAAACTTTCCTCTTCAATTCTGAATGGGGACATGCATGGAGGTGGCCCAGTTCATGGGCAGTTTGGCACCTACCACTGCCTAGGATTCTGCTTTTCAGACACAGGCCATAAAGCCAAAATAAAAAGCATCCAAACTACTGCCTAACCATTCACACACACACACACAAAAAGAAAAAAAGAAAGGAAGAAGAAGAAGAAGAAGAAGAAAGAAAAAAGAAAAGAGAAAAGAGAAACTACTGCCTAACTACATCTAAACCCAATATGCAAGCTCATGCCCCCACCAAATTTCTCCTGACAAAGGCCCAGCCCAATGCAGGCCTCACACAGCAAGGCTATATACAGATACTCTGGATTAAGTATCCAACATAAGTACATCTATTTGAAATTGGAGTGTCCAAATCTTTCAATGTTTATGTCAATGAGGCCTCCAATCAATTAATTAATGATTTAAAGTAAGGATGAAGCATTAGCTTGAAATATTTCATTTATGTGAATAAGCCTTCATTTGAGTTATTAAAGATCTAAGGAGTAAGGCTCTAGTTAGACTCTTAAAACGATAGGTTTCATTAGATTTTTCTTAATTTTGTAATGTACTTAAATGG